GGTACACTTGAACTCCTGAATTGTTTGATATGTTATATGTCAATAAAACTATTCTTAAGTGCAATGACGTGAAGCACACTAAAATGAGCTACACCTATATACCAGAATGAAACCATGCCTGATCCTGTGCTAGCTTCTCCACTGCTTACACAGGCCCGTCTGTTTTTGCAGCTATTGTGTCTCTCCATCTATTGTCTCTCCACTTGACCAAAATAGATGTCCTTTTCTACCAATTGGTCTTTCCAGGTGATGCATCTAAGCAAATCAAAGTCTCCCCACCCTCCCCTCTAAGGAACATTCTAGTTGTACTTGTTCTAAGATTGACCTGTTTGTTCATTCCTCTTTGGTATTCTTCACCAACACCACGATGAAAGCATCGGTTCTCTGGTCTTGTTTTTCATGATTCAATTTCTATTTGCTTATGAGGTGACTGAAAAGATCATGACTCGGGATCAGGTGCACCTTAAGAGCACGTGACAATGTTTGTGAAGGATACGATGAACATCTGTTGTGTGGATGAATGAACAAAGAACCTGGGGCACCTGTGGTTCCAGAATCCCTTCCTCCTCCCACTGTAACAATACGCAGCTAAGCGATAAATAAGGTCAGTGCAGATGACTTAATAAAACCAAAAGATAGCATCCCAAGTGTCATCCAGAAAAATGCGTGGAGGGCCTAGTGGGAGATGGAATTCTTCAGAGTTGCAGATTTAGAGCTAAGGGGTGCATAAACAACCAAACAAACCCAACCAACCCAGAAGTAATGGTAACTACAAGTAAGGGGGGAAATGCAGTGGGAATTCAGAAGTCACAATTTGAGCGCTATGCTGCTGTTTTCCATGAAGTAAGGCTCTTCATTACACTCTACCCCGTCATGTCCTTGTGTCTTTTTATCACATCCATTTGGCAAATAGTTATCAACTCTGCTGTCTAATTTCTCTGCTGTTGCACTTGATCAACTGAACCTTGCTGTGGATGACAAGCATAGGACAGGTATGTATCACTGGGTAGTCACTCATGAGAGCCTTGCCTTGTGATTGTGCTGGGGGGTGAAGCACGGGCTGAATTAGCACAAAGGCATCAATAGCAGCCTAGCAGAGGGCCTGACTCATGTTTGACAACTTAAAGCGACTCCTCCTTGGTGCCTGAACGTTCTACTGGGTTTCCTCCTTCCACTTCTCTCAAGAACTACTTACAAACATTTTCATTCCTCAGATCTCTGACCCTATCTCCCTTATCCCTTATCAGCCAGTCCTTTCATTCGCTCAGTAGATGATGCTGCCTCTTCAAAGAGAAACTGTGTACATACCCAAGGGCAGACCCCTATTCCAGGGGAGTAAGCAAAACACACTGCTGTTGAGTAGATTCAAACTCACAACATCCAACATGTGCCCAAGAGCACCCACCACAGGGCGGCCAAGTCCAATGACAGATCTAGGGCTTAGACAGTCTTGGTCTCTCTGCAGCTTTGGACGTTTAGAAGGCCCATCTGAGCTTGAAAGCT